CTGGTCCTTCATCGCGTCAATCCAAATGGGTCAATTGACCGATCGGATAGAGGCCGCCAACGAGCTGGCTTCTCTTGCGCAGGATAATGATAGGAACAAGAAAATCATTGTGGAAGAAGGCGGCGTCCCCCCTCTGTTAAAGCTTTTGAAAGAGACTTCTTCCCCTGACGCCCAAATCGCGGCGGCCACCGCGCTTTACAACCTCGCGAACGATCAGGAAAGGGCAAGGATCATTGTTGGTGAAGCTGGGGTCCCGATTATCGTACAGGTTCTTGGGGATTCTCCCATGAAGGTCCAGATTATGGTGGCGAATTTGGTGGCTATAATGGCAGGAAATGACCTGGTATCTCAAGAGGATTTTGCTCGACAGAATGTGATTCGGCCCCTTGTTACGCTCTTGTCTTTCGAGACCTTCGTGGATAATCCTAATCCCATTGCGGAATTGAGTAAGCATAGTATACATTCAATTGTCCAAATCAATAAAGAAATGGAAAGGAAGAATTATAGACCTTATACAACTTTGTTTTCCAATTCGCATTCGGAGGGTAGTAGTAGGGGAGGGCAGCATAGGAGAGAGAGGGAAAGTGAGAAGTCGGAAGTGAAGCTTCAGCTCAAGATTAGCTGTGCCAAGGCCCTATGGATGCTTGCGGGAGAGAGTATCTTGAATTGTAGGGGGATAACTGAGACCAAAGGGTTACTGTGTTTGGCAAAGTTGGTTGAGAAAGAGGAAGGAGAGTTGCAGCTCAATTGCTTGATGACGATAATGGAGATTACAGCTGCGGCAGAGTCCAATGCGGACCTTAGACGTGCGGCTTTCAAGACCAACTCGCCTGCAGCGAAGGCTGTTGTGGATCAACTGCTGAGGGTGATAAAAGACTTGGACAACCCCTCATTGCAAATCCCTGCCGTAAAGTCCATTGGTTCATTGGCTAGGACTTTCCCGGCGAGAGAGACTAGAGTGGTGGGTCCTTTAGTGTCCCAACTGAGTAGTTCACACCAAGAAGTAGCTACAGAGGCTGCCATTGCCTTAAAGAAGTTTGCTTGCCCGGACAATTTCCTATGCATTGAGCATTCAAAAGCCATTATCGACTTCAATGGTGTCCCTCCTCTAATGAAGTTGCTAAGAGGGACGGAGCTGCACGCACTGATTCTGCTCTGCTACCTTGCATTACATGTCAGCAATGAACCGGCTCTGGAGCAGGCGAGGGTTCTCACTGCCCTCGAGGGAGCAGACCATATTCTAGCTCAACAACCTGAGCTGAAAGAATTGGTTGCCAAAGCAGTGTATCAGCTGAATCTATATCACAGTGGAAGTCACTCTCAAAGGCTGCCTTGAAATCTTCTCTAGCTTCGGGCTGGTAAATTACTTCGTTAATTTTCAGGGGATTAATAGAAAGTATAGAAACTGGTAGATTCAGGTACAAGGAAGAAACTTTAACTTAGAAGACAGTAGGTGTTTTCTGGCAAAGCAACATACATCAGAACAGATTGAATGGTTTAATATCTTGGTAGCTGCACATATAGCTGTTCATTTTTCTTTTTTTACTTACAAGGCTTATATGAATGATTATTATTCAATTTGCCTCATTTTTTCACCTTAATTCTCCTTGTGTGCTTTCTGCTGGTTACTTTTTATTAATGATGTTGGCTTATGCTGATGCATTTTACAACTTTACCATTCAACTCTCACACAACAAAACGAAGATGGGTGGTTACTGATGTTATTTGTCCTATTAAAGTAGTGGTTTCTTCTCTTTCCATGAATTTTCTTTTAGTAAATAATTTTCCTTGGATCGCAGAGATATTTCTCCAGGAAAATACTTAAATCTTTACTTCAACAGCAAAATAAGGTGATCTAGGGTATATCTTGTCCTACTAGGAAATCTGTAATTACAGATTCTGCTCTGTGTTTTATTTTCCATTTTCTGATCAACTGTTTTCCTTTAGGTCAGTGAATAAGTTTTTCTGGACAAATATTTTGGCAGTAAAATGTTTCTGCAGGTAGTTGACTATAAATTGTATCATGCTTCGCATAACATCAAGATTTAGTTGAAATCAATAGCTTATATCCTTTTCTTTTTAATTCAAATCCAACACTAGGGACACAGAGTTCTTGTGCAGATTCCAACCTCTAACTTCGAATTTGTGGATTGGAGAATGCCCACCCACCTGAACGACGGTCAGGTATCAATTGCTTGCGGATACTTGTCAAAACTGAATTACATACCGTAACACACTCTAAATGGAATTTTTCTATAAAAGGAAAAGAGGAGATCGTAGTCAGTATCCATGAACGTTTATCTGTTGCGAATCCGATTATTCTCTGTAGACATTAATTATTGGATGATGCTTCTACTATGGAATGTTTTGGAGTTGGGCAGTACGAGTTCATCTCTCTAGGTTAGTTTCTTGAATGTTGGAATTCCAAGTATGTAGTAATTTAATGGGAGGTGCTGGGGTTTCAGCAGGGGAAAGGGTACCCTGAATTTTGTGGCAACTGGTTAATTTCCAACCTCCCATCTCTGTTCTCACCATTTTTACATTTGTAGTTGTCTATCTGGGCTCATATTCAAGGGCATCAAGCCTTTCTTTAGTAACGCAGGCAGCTTCTGCAACCAAAGACAAATTTCACAGGGTTATAAAATTTCCAAACTAATACTTCTTATATAAAAATATTTTTTATTTTAACATATATGCACTACAAAAGAATTTTTAATCAAATTCTGATTACATTCAGAATAGCCAAGATTAGGAAATGTTATTAGGGGAGGCAGATTTTCGTGCATGGTGTAACCTAGAGAAGTTATGAAGCATAACTACTCTAAAATTTTGTATTAGTATATATTACAATATCATATTTCATTTTGTTTGTCCAATATAAATAAAAACTATATTATATTTTTATTAAACTATCAGTTACAGAGAGATATATAAACTTATTAGTTCTGATAAATGATTAACTCAATTTGCCAACTTTCATCAAGATTAATAATAATAAGGGTAAGGACACCAGGAATTTTAACTTGATATGAAAACAATAAAATCTTTAAGAACCATGTTGATATATAAAATAATTATATATTTATTAAAAAAAAATAGAGAATTTGGAAATAATATTTAGAATGTTTTGTTGTGATTAAATAGACACATTTTTGTATATTTGTTGCGTACGCGACGAAACAAATAAGATAAATTCAAAAAA